ACAGTTGTCATCTTCCCTGCAGGTTGTTGATCGCGTTTCAATTCTTTGTCTTTTGTCTAGCACCTAAATACTTTTCCGTACTAGAAGTAGGACTAGTGTAGAAAGACAGACCTTTATATGTTCAGAATCACTTTTCTCGCTGTACTTTAAAATAATTAGTTTTTTTCAGTGTTTGACTTATTGTAGGTCTCCACTTGTGTCCTCTTCGCTTTCAAAGAGATTTCGATTCTTACGTTTTGTGATCTGCGTTTTTCTAACAATAATCTTCTTCTTGGAGTCAGTACGTGCTGCTCTTCTGAATGATTATCTTTTAAAATATGTTTCTAACTCTTTTTTTTCCAGATTTATCTTTCCCGATTTTCCAAAATGTTCGCAAAAAGCTCGTCACTTTTCTACATATCTCATGCTGTGATCTCTGCTGCTGGATATTGTTTCGTTTGGAGCCTATCTTTGTTTGACCTTTTCTTTACACTATCTGAATGCTCCATCGAAGGTATCTCTCGTCGTTATGCGGTTTCCCACAGTATCTTTGAGTGGTAAGCTTACTGCGATGTCTTCACTATCTTCTTTTCGTTCAGCTAATGTTTTCCTACGTTTAGGTGCTGGTTGCAGTCAGTCCTACTTTACACAAGCTTGACTGCTGGTTTCATATGGTTACTGCTTCTGTACTTCAACTCCATATGCCCTTCGTCTTTCATTTTATTGTATATGTCACCAAGGCGAGTTCATATCTAAAGTGGTACTTAGGTGTTTATTTTAAGTTACTGAGGAGTAGTAATGGAGATCATGTTCTAAGTGTTATCAGCTTCTGGATTACCTGATCGGGGTACATGCTGTAAAGCTAGTAAAGCGTTCCTTCATAACGCGTCGTGGTAAACCTGCGATATTTGCATTTTCTCAAATGTTTTTTCCATTTTTTTTTTGTTAGGTTGAAGGTCTTGTTTTGCAGCACTGATCTTGTGGAATCAGAATGAAAAAACCGGAATTTCAGGCGTCTTAAAATCTGCACCCGCCCCTCCGTT